CCAGGTTTGCACACTGCAAATTCCTGCAGTTTCTTTCACTTCATCTAATGTTGACGAACCCTTGCCCTATGGACGGACGCTGTTCAGTAAGCAAGATGGAAATGGTCCCTGGCCTCATAGAGCTCATGGTTCAGGGAAAGAGATAACCCCATATACAGATAAAAAGAATATCTTCAGGAGACAGGCATCATGGGCCCTTGGTTCACTCAACACGTATTTACTGGTCTCTTGCTCTGGTGCCAAGTATCAGACAGATGGTGGTGAACCGAGTATAGGGAGGGATGCACTGTTGGAAGTGTGTGTGTGTGTGTGTGTGTGTGTGTGCGCGCGCGCGTGTGTGTGATTTCCTTTTTATTTGAAGTACAGCACAGACTAGAGGTCAATTGCATAGAGTACAATTATTTTAAGCCTACAGCTTGCAAATAACTTACCTTTGTGAGACCCTGTATTAGCCAGTTTGGGCAGCTATAAGAAAATACCATAGATTGGGAGGCTTACACAACAGACATGTGCCTCTCAGCGCTCTGAAGGCTGGGACTCTGCAGTCAGAGAGCCGCCTCTTTCTGGTTTATAAACAGCTGCCCTCTGCTGTGTCCTCATGTAGTGGGGAGAGTGAACTCTGATGTCTCTCACTCCTCTTACCAGGGCACTAATTCCATCGTAGGGCCCCAGCCTCATGACTCATCTAAACCAATTATCTCCCAAAAGCCCCACCTCCAAACACCATAACGTGGGTTTAGGGCTCCAACATATGAAATGGGGGAACACAGCATTCGATCTGTGACAGACACGAGTAACCATCACCGTATCGAGACATAAGGCATTCGCTTTACTGCAGAAGTGCTCCTGCCATTGTCCACGCGCCGTAAGTTAATCATTCTTCTGACTGCCATCACCACAGACTAATTTCTCCCCTTTTTAAAAAAATATTTATTGAGCTCCTGCCACCAGGCCTCCTGGCTGGGGCGCTGTCCTTCCCATGCGGGACACCTGGCTTCCCACTTTCCTTCTGGCCCCCACCAGGCGGGGGAGGCGATGGGCCGGGAGGGCCGGAGCCCGGCAGGGTTCACCCTCGGACCTGGCTGGGCTCCCGGGCCCTCCCGGTGGGTCTCACTTCAGGCCGGGGCTTGGACCCGGGGCTGAGGTGTGGGGAGTCCCCCCATTCCCCCGCCGTATGAGTTCTGCAGGGGGGTGGCCTCCTGTGGACCTCGGGCTGGAGTGGGGCTGGCACCCCAAGGCGGCCTGGAGACCCCTGAGCCCGAGGGCGAGGCGGGAGCCGGGGTGGGGAGCAGCTCCCAGGGGCCTCCCCCAGCCCTCGCTGCCCCCCGGGGGCCGTGAAGCCCGACAAGGAGACACTGGAGCCGAACCCCGAGGAGGAGGCGAGTGAGGACCTGAGAGCTCTGCAGAGACCTCGAGCAACTCGCCAAGCTCCTGAAGCAGAGCAGGATCACCCCGGGTGCACCCAGGCCGATGTGGGGCTCACCCTGGCCCTTCTCTTTGGGGGGTGTTTAGCCCTGCCGCCTGGGGCTCTGCGGCTCAGCTGGAGAGCATGTGGGAGCTGCGGCCGCTGCAGAAGCGGGTGGAGGAAGCTGACAGCCACGAGGACCCGCGGGAGAGATGCAAAGCGGAGGCCCCGTGCAGGCCCTTTCTGTTACTTTAGGCTTGGGGGTACGTGAGAACTGGGGCTCGTTTGGCCTGAGGCACAGCAAATAAGCTAGGACTTCAGTGCAGACCCTCCAATGCCACAGCCCGCGCTCCGTCGTCACCACTGTGTGTGCTGGTAAGTGCAGCTGACCTGGTGATGAGGGTCTCAGCTGGCTCCCCCTGCAGGCGCTGGCCAGCTGCCAACCAAAGCCTGGCAGGGGCACCGCTGCTTCCCCAGTGCTGTTCAACAGGACCTTTCCAGGCGGTGGGTTCCCAAAAGTCCCTTCTCCCCCCCTCTGCCCACCCTCCCCCAGGGTCCTTCCAGCACCTGCATGATCAAGGCCAGGGGCACCTTCCTTGGCTCAGTGACTGCGCAGTGACTTCACAGACCCGAGCGGGCCCGGGGTTGAGCTCTCTGCTCCCTCAGAGCAGAGCGTCCGAAAGCGCAGCGGCAACCCCAGCACAGCTCTGTGCATCCGACTAGGCACTGATTAAGCGCTGACTGGGCCAGGCGCTGGGGACACAGCAACGGCAGGATAGACAAGATGCCTTCCCTCACGGGAACGATCATTATAGTGATGGCTGACATTTATTGAGCACTTACTGTGTTCTAGGCACTGTGCTAAGCCTGTATAGGAACTGGTCTTCTTATCCTCACAACAGTCTCACCAGGTGGGCACTATTATTAATCTCATTTCAGAAGGACACTGAGGCACGGAGAAGCTAAATAAGTTGTCTGCGGGCACACAGCTAACAAGTGGTGGCACCAGGCCTGGACTCGGTGCGCCTGCAGCCCCTGCTCCCTTAGCTGCTAACGGAACCAAACCAACGCCCGCACCCTATGGGGACAAATCCTCAAGAAGTAAACGAATAAAAAAGATCTTTCCATAGTGGTAACTAACGCTATGGAGAGAGTAAGATCAAATCAGGTGACTGGGGGCATGTGTGGCATTCTGGAGGGCACTGCACTCACAGACCCTCCTCCCCCAGGGCGCAGAGCTTGCAGAGGGCCAGGCGGTGCGGTCCTGTGGGTCCCCTGGTCCAAAGCAGACACTAGCTGTGAGGGAGGGGAGAGGGGAGGCGGGAAGGGGGAAGGGAGGGAGGAGGGATCCCTGGCAGGCGCTCCACACACACCTGCCAGTGTTTGGCCAGCTGTGCCGACTTAGAGTGAGCCCCACGGGAGGTCAGGAGGCCGTGGGAGGGTCCTTCAGCCCTCTCCAGCTGCCTCGCCTTGAGCAAGACACTCTGAGACCGGGGCGGGGGAGGGGGCCTCTGGACGAAGCCCTGTCTGAAGCCCTGTCTCACAGTGGGCGCTGTGGCTCTCCTGGCTTTACAGGTGAGCAGACTCACAAGTGAGCCCCAAATCTCACGAGGAACCAGGGTCCTGGTGGCAGAGGTGAGTCAGTGAAAGACCACCCTGAGGGGCAGCTCCAGGGTTTGGGGGGGGTTCTTGGTCATCACAAGGGAGGCAGAACAGAACAGTGGCACACAGAACTGTCCCACGTCCCACACAACATTTCACTGTCCCGCGAGACATTCACGAAGCCAAAAAACTTATTTGCAAGGACTGACCTGAGCCTAGAACCTACCCCATCCGATGCCACGATACAGGGAGTCGCACGGAGTGGAAAAGTCCTCCGCTCGCAGGACACGGCTCCTCATTCCTCCACCTTAGTTTGTCCTTTGTTTCAATGAGGGTTGTTTTCCTCTCTCCCTCATCACCTGATCGGTTATTATCCCAACTCTGTTTTTATCCAAGAGTCCTCCTGTCTCCGCTTTCACCTCCTGGGTGTTGAAGAACTCAGGGACCACCCGACCTGGAAAACAGCTGAATTTACCTCTGGCTCAGGCCAGGGAGACATGCAAGCAGAAGTGCTGCTGCTCCTTGGGCAGCGGGCAGGGCGGGGTCCTTACAGGGCTGGGGAAGGACGGGCTCAGGAAGCAGCGGGGCAGCTGGCTCACAGCGAAGTGGGAGCGGACCCGGACAAGGTCCTGTCGCCTTGGAAACCACAGAGTTAGAAACAAGGACGAGGCCTCCTTCCCTGCCCCAGGCAGTAGGAGCTGGGAGCCGGGCAGAAGCCGCAGCCACGGAAGGTGGGGCCTCTCTGGGCAACTCGACCTGCGCAGATCCTTCAGGCAGGAGTGGAAAATTCCAGTTTCACGCACCTCCCATCTGAACCCCTTCCTTTAATTCCTATTCGATCACTACAAACATCTTGCTTCATAATGTCTTCTGCTCTGGGATATCCATGTTTTGAAGCACATACTATTTTATAATAAATTAATCTCCTTTGATGGCTCCTTTACCTTACGATAGNTGCTCTGGGATATCCATGTTTTGAAGCACATACTATTTTATAATAAATTAATCTCCTTTGATGGCTCCTTTACGTTACAATAGGCGTCTACTGAGGGGTCTGGAAACGAGACTGACTCTCGCCCTGTGCGGTGTGCGCTGTCCCGGCCCAGCTGCAAGTGCCTTTCCACGAGCTACTCATCTGCTCCTCTCACCAACCCTGTGAGGCAGCTTCGGTTATTATCATCCTCATTTTACAGAGGAAAACCAAGGCACAGAGAGGTCAAGTGACTTGTCTGGGGTCACACAGGAAGTGGTGGAGCAGGGGCTGGAGATCTAGCTCCACAATCTTAACCACTCGGCTGGCCTCTCTCAGGTGAAGGAAATTGCCTAGGGACCCCCAGTTCAGGATATTAAGGGGGCTTGCCAAGCTGTTTGGGGGGGAGGGAGTGCTGGATGTGACAGGGTGAGATCCACGGACCTGGCAGATAGCATGTTGATATCCTGACCCCATATACTTCACTCCATCTGCTGCCACCACAGTCCTGAATCTGAGCCAAGCTGGCGTGGGAGTGAGGGTCAGCTGTGTGACCGTGACCCCAATCCCAGAGGGGCCACGTGCAGAGCGCAGCAGATGGACAGGAAGGAGTGGGCCCAGTGAGGCCCTCGGGTCCCTGCAGGCGGTTCCCAAGGACTGTTCATGGCCAGACCTCGCCGGTTTCCTCGTCTTCCCTGGGGCAGGGAATCTCCTCTGTGGAAAACACCTGCTGGGGAGCCCCAGGGAGGGGGGGCAGGGGGGAGCACTCATGAGACTGACTCTTTCCCCTCTCATGACCGTGAGGGACGGGTGTTTACTGCCGATGCTGGGGAAGGGCCAGGTTGCGTCAGACTGGGCCTGCGGGCAGCTGAGGAGGAGACGTGGCCTTAAAAGTTGGATCCAGTGAACTGGGAGGTGCCAGGAAACCAGACACAAACTAGGCTTTAGAAGGAGACAGAGAGAGAGAGAGAGAGAGACAAACACACAGACACACAGACAGACAGTGAGAGCAAGCGGGACAGGATGGCCACCTTCCCCAGAGCAGCCAGCCCAGCCCAGCAGCCCCCAGACCCCCAGGACGAAGACCCCAGCCTGGATGAGTGCGACCTGTACAGCCTGGCTCATTCTTACCCCGGTAAGGCCTGGCCGGGCCACCTTCCTGGTCCCTGCACCTCTGCCCCCCCTCCCCCCGGGGCACTAGGACCCCTCCTGGGACTTCTCCGCATCCCTCACCCTTTGCCAACCTGTCCCTTGGCCCCTCATCCCCTGAGCACTGTCCTACTCAGCCCTGGGGCCTCAGCCTGCCTAGAATATTGGAGCAACAATGGACCATCTGGGGGCCCTCATTTCTCGGACGGGGAAATAGAGACTGTACCCCAAAGCTGTGTGGTGGCAACCCCGGCCTCCCTACTCCAACCCAAGCTCTCTCCACCGCTCACTCGCAGCCCCTCCTCCCCTCTGAGGCCATCCCGCCTCCGGCCACCTCACTGCGGCTCTTGCCTCCTCGGTTCCCAGGAGTGGGAGGCAGGAAGGGTCGCACCAAGAGAGAAGCCGCTGCCAACACCAACCGCCCCAGCCCTGGTGGGCACGAGAGGAAGCTGGTGACCAAGCTCCAGAATACAGAGCGGAAAAAGCGAGGGGCACGGCCCTGAGGCAGAGCTGGAGGTGCGGGTCGGGCTCAGAGCGGGGAGGCCCCTCTGCCTGGGACGGCAGGACGGGACGAACGCTGTGGGTGGGAGGGGGCGTGAAGGAACTGCGGTATCCGCGTCGGAGCAGATGAGACATACATTTGACTCTGCGTTTCCTAGTGGCCAGTGCAAAGGGGGAAATATGGACCCCTTCCTACAGGAGGGAAATGTGGTTTAGAGAGGGAAGCTGAGGCCCAGAGAGGGTAGGGTCTTTCTCTGGAATCAGAGCACGTGAGTAGGAGAGGCAGAGTTACCCAGGCCTCTGTCCCTTCCAGCAGCTGGTTTTCTTCCCCAGGTGAGGCCAGAGCACGCACCCGAAAGGCAATGGTGGCAGGACCACGGAGGAGCCAGCTCCTGGAAGCAGGGTCCAGGCCTACGTGACCCCACCCGATCCCCAGGACTTACCCCACCTGACTGAGGCCCCAGAAAGAGGGCAAGACAGGGAGCAAGAGGCAGGGAATGGACAGGCAAAGCCACGAAGACACCCCTGAAAGAAAGATGCTGAAGACAGCGGAGCGCCCTGCGTGGCAGCGACAATAAAGTACAGCAGCAGCTGAGTGTTTCTCCCCTCTGCCTGGTTCCTCTGTGCCGGGCTCCGCACGTGTCTGCGTCTGCGTGGCCAGTGAGCGGCTTTCGTCAGTGTCTGCGTTTGGTGATGCATCTGGGGGGGTCTGACTTTGAGGGGCCTGCAGGGCTGGGTGGGTTTGGTTGGGTTTCAGTGCCACGGTTGCGGAGCATCGGGTTCTGCGGTGTCCTCTGGCGTGAAGGGCATTCCTCTGCTGCGGCGTTTTATCCAGGCCCCACGGTATTTTCTCCGTTGCTTTTCAGAGAGAGTGGCAGGGAGAGAGAGAGAGGGAAACACCGATGTGAGAGAGACACACCGACTGGTTGCCCCCCACACCCACCTAGACTGGGGCCGGGGATCGAGCCCGCAACCGAGGTGCGTGCCCCTGGCCAGGATCCGCCCCGAGGGCCCTCAGTCCGCAGGCCGACGCTCTAACCACTGAGCCAGGCGCCTTTTTAATCTGCCCCGACACGCCCCCCTCCCAGCGCCTCCCAGCTCCGGAATAAGGGTCTGCTGACCACCTTGTACTCGTATGAGGCCACCGTTCGAGTGAATATCTATTGATGCCCAAAAGGAGCAAACTGAGACTTAAAACATTGAGGGGTTTGCCCAAGTTCCTCGGGGCTCAACTTCAAGGATTCTCATGGTCCTCGAGTGAGGAGGGTCCCTTCGCTCAGGGGGCTGCCAGGACAGGGCTCTGGGAGGTCAGCTGGGGGGATGCTCACCTGGTGTGACGGGTCTCAGACCAGGTCTGAGAGGAGCGCAGGGCAAACAGGAGGGGGGGCCAAGTGGATCTGTTGATTGAGATACGAGTTGGGGCTGCTGTCCTGGAGACGCAAACAGAACGGGATAGAAGGTTCTCTCTCTGTCACAGGACAGCCCCAAGGGCAGGCACTCCTGGGCCAAAGTGGCAGCTCCACCCGTCAGGGATTCGGCTACTTTAGCCCATGGTTCTGCCCCCTCAGAGCATGGTTTCCACTCGGGGCCCCAGCCGGCTGCTCGGAGCCAGCCTGTGGAGAGGGAGCAGGGAGGGACCAGGGGAGGCCACACCGAGTCCCTCTTGGGGCCGTAACCTAAGAGTGGAACAGGCCGCTTCTGCTGGAATTCAGTTACACGGCCACACCCAAGTGCGGGAGCGGCTCGGAAAGTCCAGCAGCAGCTGCTTAGCCCGCGTGGGCCAGGCTCGGAAGGGCGCGTTCATTGAAGGAGGCGGCGAGAGCGGGTACCGGCTAAAATCGGCAAGGGACATTTCCCACAGACAGGCTCAAGGAAAGGGGGGGACCACCCCGAGGCTGGCCCCGGGCAGAGCCTTCTCCCTCCGGTGCCCTCGGTGCAAGCCCTGGGCTGCAGGGCTGGGAAGCAGCGGGTCCTAGGGACCGGGACGGTGACAGAGCAGTGAGGCGCCCGCTGGAGCCGCAGCAGATGCGCAGCCGGCCAGGCCCGCTTGAGCCTTGGGAACCGCTCGCCAGTGGCCTCCCCTGAGTCCAGCCTGAGGTCAGTGACAGGATCGCTCCCTGAGGACATTAAACCACCCAGCCCAACCCAGCTGCCCCTACTGGAGTCACCTGCTTGCGTGACTCTCACTGGGACAGGGCACTTGCTGCCTTGGAGCTGCCTGATTCCTTCCAGAGCAGATGAAACCTGACTCTCCCACCTGCCCCTGAACAAGCTTCTGGTCCTTTCCTTCCTTCTGGTCCTTTCTCTTCTTCTGGTCCTTTCTGTTTGAGATGCCTTTACGCACCCGTCCCATGAGGCTCAGCTCAAATGCCCCCTTCTCTGCGAAGCCATCCCCAACTTGCCCTCCACCACCCGTCTCCTGCCTCCACCCCAGGCGGTCGCCTTCTCTGGATCCCGCCACACAAGCCTGTGCCCAGAATCCCACCGTCATTTGGCCCACAGCTCCGGAGGTTCTCCTCAAACCCCCCTTTCCCAAGTTATTTACTCATCCCGTGAATGTTTATTGGATGCCTACTACTACCAGGGCCTGGCTGAAGGCATGCATTGCACAGAGGGACAAACGGGAGCCTGGCATGATTGGAACCAGTCCCTAGGGCCACTTGTCAGCTCTGGAACTCAAGGAAAATGCAGGAGCAGCATAGGGCAGTGAGCTCTCAGCGCAGCACAGATCTGGTATGTCAGCTTCAAAACTCATAGCAACAGGCTCCACCGGTGTGGCTCAGTTGGTTGTACATTGTCCTGTGCACCAAGGGGTTGCTGGTTCGATTCCTGCTCAGGGCATAAGCCTGGGTTGCAGGCCCGATCCGTAGTTTGGGGCGTGCAGGAGGCACCTGATCCATGATTTGTTCTCACATCAATATTTCTCTCTCTCCCTCTCCCTTCCTCTCTCTCTAAAAATCAATAGAAAATAAAATTTTAAAAATAAAATAAAACGCTTACATAGAAAAAAATAAAACCAAAAATAAATAGAATTTTTTTAATTTAATAATACCAGCAGCTTCCTTGTACTGGGCTATTACTTTGTGATAGGTGTTTTATAGGCATTGTTTCATTTAATCCTTATAATAACCCATTTTATTATTATTGATCCCATTTTACAGACTAGAAAATTGAGGTTCAGAGAAGTCAAGTAACTTGCCCAAAGTCACACAACCAAAACCTGCAGAAGCTGGGCTTCTCCCTGTATACTACATGCCTGACAACCATGAATACTGACTGAGGAATCCTAGAATCCAGTTCATTTCTGAGCCTCAGTTTCCTCACCTGTCAATTGGTGAGACTACCCTCTTCTCTGTCTATGTCAAAGGAGAAAACAGCCTGGGAAGTGCTGTGTCCCTTGCTGGCTGTGGCCACACCCTGGATACTGGGTCCTTTGACATTTGCCTGAAGGCCCCACATGCCACCCCTCACTCCTGGCCTCTGACTGGCCTTCCCAGGCCTCGCCTTTCCCTGGCACAGCCTATGACTGGGAGGCCTTTAAGTGGGTGTTCCAGGCACCAGGCAGTTCCTGGAATTACAGCATGTTTGGTCAGGAAGGATCCTGGGGTTAGAGCCTCCACTCTTTTAAGGCCTTGGAGGGGGCGTGGATCAGGGGTCAGGGACTGGCTTAAACTCACATGGGGACTAGAGTCTCAGTAGGACAAGAACCGGCTCCTGACTCTAGCCCTCCAGAATCTCCCTGTTCTGTTCCACCCCCCTTTTCCTACACCCTTTCTTTTTCATCTCCCAGTTGCATGTAATACCTGTTTCCCCAATTTCTTGAGTTCCTCCTGAGAAGGAGAGAGATGACTGGTCTCTGTCCCCCTCAGGGGCTTACAGAAATGTCCCCTCAGGTTGCCACCATTCTTTCAAAGGATTCCCAGCTCCCTGCAGAGAACCAGGAAACTTACTACCAGGCTCTTTATTTGTTTCACAAACGCCCTGGTCTTCTCCTGCCCAGTCCTTTCTCAATGGCCAGCTCTCAGACGTCTAGTTTTAAAAGTTCAGAACTCCCCAAGGCTGATTTTCAGCCAGCAGTCCTTAAAGATGATGCTATTCACAGCAATAGTCACAGCTACCGCTGCTGATGATCTGCCCCAGGTTTTCCCAGCCTCGCCTTCCCTTTCGGGCACCACTTCTGCAATTTCTGCCCTATGAGCATTCAAGCTATACCNAGCCTCGCCTTCCCTTTCGGGCACCACTTCTGCAATTTCTGCCCTATGCGCATTCAAGCTATACCATTACTTACTTGGAAGTCTAAAAATTACCTCTACTTCCTTACCTTTTGTACCCAAATGTATTTAAAAAGGAAACTGCATAACCACTNTGACTATTATCACACCGAGTATTTACCAGTCTTGCAGGAGAGAAAAGACCTGGGTCCTGCGCTCATCACTGCCACAGAGTGAGCCGGTAGAAGACAGGTGTGCTGACACCCACGCTCAAACCTTCTAGAGAGCTCTGTGCACCTCAGTGAGTGTCAGAGGGGAGCAAGGAAGTGAGAGAGCTCCAGTCCCAGGTCCCTGTGCAGACGGCCAACCTGACAGAGGAGACCACTCCCTGCTCCCAGCCTGAGACCAAGAACCCAGGGTCTGTCCATCAGAAGCAAGCGCTTCCTTTTCTTTGTAAAATAAACTTTTCTTTGCTTTTCTGGTTACAAAAACAGTTGATGTTGTGGAAGCAGAAGATAACCCCCAACCTCTAGCTCAGCCCTCCTGACTGAACTCGCCCTCCTTCCAACTTTTGCAAAACATGTAAGTTATAAAATTACTTTGAGCCCGGCCGGGCGTGGCTCAGCGGTTGAGCGTGGACCTAGGATCCAGGCGATCGGGATTCGATTCCAGGTCAGGGCACATGCCCAGTTGCTGCCTCGATCAATGACTCATCATTGATGTTTCTATCTCTCTCTCTCCCTCCCCTTTCCTCTCTCTGAAATCAATAAAGATATGTGTGTGTTTTTTAA